CATTATCTAATAGTGTTGGTAAAACCTTCGTCAAAACATTTAGGAACTGAGCACCATTTAAATTACTTTCATAGAAGTAAGGCCTAGTTAATTTATTTCCGAGGGTCCACACCAAAACTGTGAACCACCTGATGATGGCAAGAGTTCGAAATTCTCGGATTTTCCTATGCCCAAGTTCGAAAATTCCAACGGTTTAGTGCGACGTTAGAGGTGAACTTGCATTCAGCAGACTATTGGATGTTTGGAAGAAGGCTTTCTTCAGCCTTCCAAATCGACATTTGTGCAAGGAACGGTAAACTCCTGTCATAACGAGAGTCCCGAAGTCACTGGACAAGATGAGAGCGATACGACTTAAATTGAAAGTCCGGAGTACATTTCTAATTTTATTTTTTGAAAAACCTAAAACCCTTCCAACATTTCGTAGAGAGGAATTCGGGTTTTCGCGAACATACAGTAAAATATCCAATGCCTCATCGAAATTACGCTGCCGGTTTCTTGGTGATGGATCAGCAACTGATCAGTATCTCCTTACATTGCGAGCAACACGAATAAACGTTTTGTGGTTTACTCTATGGCGATCAGGAAATTTTTGGGAGTACAATCCGACTGCAATACCACCACTATTAAAAAAGCAGTGGTACATATAAACTCGCTGTTAATGGGAAAAATGTGCTCTTTGTTCATTTTGAATGAAATGCTGAATGCAACGAATAGGTATTATTGTAAAATTTATTTACTTCCAGGAATTAAGATTTTCTCCCATAATGCTGTACATGTGAGTCACAGCCAATATGGTATGAGGTCGAATACCGAATAGATTATCATACAGAATGGATTTTTGACTGCACTAAGGTACATTGAGGAAGTTCTTTTGGGAGGTGTGCTCCGATTCGCTCATTGGTGACAACTTTGTGTTAATGCATGACAACAGTCGACCAAATATAGCACGACTTGTACGATGTAGGGATTACCACAGTGAATTGGCCTTCACGTTCTTCTGGTATGAATTCATAGAACACTGATCAAATAAAGAGACGGGTTGACATCATTCGTCTCCGACCAGATTTGAACATCTTCAAACTGCTCTGGGATACTGTTTCGCAAGACGAAATCTGATCACTCGACCCTAGGAGAATTAAGCCCAAGCCCCCCCCCCAGGCCAGGGGAGGTGATATGCATTATTAAGAGAAAAGCATGTAATAAAATGTTAATTAAATTTTAATCTAACGATTTTCCGGTGTTTTGGTGAATTTTCTTTCCCAAACACTCTGTATTAAGTATGGTCTTGAAGAAGAAAGTAAATTCAGTTGTTACTGCCAAGCCTGGCAACACTGAATTACACTGTCTGCACATTGACATATTTAAGTTTTTACAGGCGAACTCTAATTTCCTTAAAGCTGGTGCTCAGTCCCAACATTGCCAAGGACTGTAAAATCTTAAAATGTCAATATATAAACATAAGATTGTTCTGCCCTGATGACGACATTAAAATCGGTCGAAAACTTGGCAATAACAACTTAATTTACTTTCTTCTTTAAGACCTTACCTTGATTCAGAGTGTGCTTGAGTGAAAAAGTGGCCGATACTTCTAGTACAGAAAATTTTCTTTCAAACCATCATAATTAAATATTTTTTACGTATATACAAAATGAAGCAAGAGGAAGAAAAACAATTTATTCTATGTGATTAAAGTGATGGTAATAACAATTAAATGCTATTTAAAACTTTTTTTACAGTGATGAATTGTCTTTTTCTTGGGCTGATTGATGGTGTGCATTGAGACAATAAACTACAATTAACTATCGAGAGACTTTTTTAAAACCAATCAATTCACACAGTCAATGCATAATTAATGCCCTTCCATCTGTTACATTGATATATACCTATCAATAGATTAGAATCAGGTTTGATTTATTTCTTTAAATAAATATGTTTCTTTTAGATTACGTAGGGTTGTTAATCAGAATAAAAATGCATTTTTACAATATTTACCAAATAAAATTAACAAAATCTTTCAAGGTGATGATCTTAAAGATTTGAAAACAAAACAGTTACTTATGAAAGAGAAGTTGGTATAACTAAGTTTAATTTTCTGTTCTGATGGTTGAAACAAACTTTACAAAGTTATCAATGAGTCCTTTGAGAATAGATCAGTTGTTTTCGGCCAGAACACCAGTGCAGATTAGGCCCGAATCTGTCTTAATGGCTGTAATTATAAGGTGGTTCTTGAGGTTAGGTTAGGAAGGGGCTTGTTGAGAAAGATATGATTCCATGTCTGTAGAGATATGATCTGTTGTTCCTGTCGTAATGAAGGAAACCTTCTAGGAGCTGACTCTCGGGATAATGGTTTCCTTTATCAAGGTTTGCCGGAAGGTCCTTTTACAGTCACCCATCAGGCCGACCCTCCCCTGCTCTATAAAAAGTCTGTGGTATAAAAAATAGCCAGAAGGTTCATAACGTTTTTGGAACTAGCCGAGATTATGGACAATTGGAATATAGAAGTCGGGAGGTGTGTGGTGATTAGTGACCGTTAGTCTATGATTATTTGGAAATCGTGAGATGCGGTCTGACGTAAGTTTCAGAAAAACATTTTCTTTATCATGTCAACGTTTCGATCTTTATTCAGATCATCTTCAGGGCTCAAAGTGTTTGTTTTCTGCGTAATGGTGCCATTCTTGCGTGTCGTGGGTACTCTGCAACAGAATGGCAATCATAAGAAGTTGGGAGGTTGTGTAGGTCAGATGAATCTTTAGGGCACCAAATTCGATCATATGTCAGCTTTCGATCAAATTTTACCTAACGAACTAAAACATTTCCATGTTTTAGGGTTTTCTGAGTGAGCATCTCATTTCGTAAAAATTACACCTGGCATATTAGCTGTTCAACAATTGTAAGCTTGAGCCGTTCACAGAAAGCTACATTAAGATCATCCGCGAATGCGATTATTTCGACGTTGGAGGGCAATCCCGATTTGGGTAACGGGTTATACAGAAGGTTCAAAAAGCCAGGTTTATAAAGCGATCCGTATTCAAAGCCATTTGTCAGATTTTTCTTCTCAACTGTACAATTGGTCACCACATATAAGGTCATGTTCTGAAAATAAACTGCTCAAAAATGAATTTATTCTTATCCTATCATATTATTATATGTAGAAATTATATATTGATATTTATTGTTTTTCAAGTCTGTTTATTTACGAGAAGCAAATTGACAAATGTTTTCATATTGTGATAGGTCACTCGAGGTAATCGGACAAATATCCGTCCTGATTGTCTAAAGCGGAAAAATATTAATATTTTTTTTAACATTTTCCTTATACAAATATGTTATTAATATATCTTATCGATATATTTATAGTTAAGAGGTGTTAAGAGCGGTTCATTTGGCTTTCCCCACGATCGTTGTAAGGCTTTATTTTTACAAAGAAACCACGTTATTCAGTGTTGTTATCTTTTCATTCCCCGTCACTTATCATCCCAGAAATAGATGATTATCTTTGAAAATAAATTACAGAAAAGACGCCGCTTTTAAATCCTAGTCGTACCATTTGTCAATTGGGAGAATTGAGTCAGTGTGCACTTGCATGTGTTGCGGGTCCTTTGATTAATGGCACAGTCTCACATTGAAGAATAACCAATTCAGGAATGAATAGAAATATTAAAGATAATTCCTTGTCAAATATAATCGATGAGTTGATTATTAATAACATCTGGCAACCTAGGGCCTTTGCGATTGGCCTAAAACTTTTGTTATCGTAAAAAAATCAGAAGTTTCCAAGAGACGTAAGACTGCTCAAAAATGAATAGGTATATTTGTAATTTATTCTTATTCTATTAATTTTAATTAAATTTATCGATATATTCTTGTTACTTTGATAAAACAAAATAGAAAATACAAGCCAAAAACAAACAAATGTATCTTTATTTAAAAAAAAACGGATTCTCTTAAGAATAGTAAGTAAATAAAATGAAGATTACTCATTTTGTAAAGAAACGCATTTTCTAGTCTTTTCTCCATTTTAATCCAGTTGTATTCTCATTAACCATGGAAAGACACCATATTAAACCAGAAGTTCGTAATATTATTGTGAGAATGAGTCATCGAGGTCACCGGCAGGTGGATATCGCAGAGGCAGTTGGCGTTCCTAAGAGCGTGATCTCCAGGGCTGTAGCTCGATTCCGAGGGACTGGAAGTGCCAATAGGAGGCCTGGTAGTGGATCTCAGCACATTACAACGCTAAGGGAGGACAGAAATATTGTCATTGCTGCAAGACGGAACTCTATAGTATCCACCAGATCCTAAATGAAGTACATGTTTTGGCAAGACCTTGATTCGTAATCGTTTGTGGGAAGTTGGCGTCACATATTCTGCTCCGCTGAGACGATCTGCACCAGCACCAGCAACTCACGAGATTATGGTGCAGCGAGCGCGTAGAAGAGATCACCTATTGAAATGGTAATACGTTTACTGATGAGTCGCCGAAGAGTCCACCGAGAACAGGGGATACGTTCGTGCTCCCTTCAGTGCTGTTTGGAGGAGGCCGTGTAATGGTCTGGGCTGGGATTTACACTGGAGGACGAACAGGACTCCAAATTATTGAAGACAACTTCACCGCAGTCCGTTAAGTCAAAGAAATTCCAGAGAAATACATCCTTCCAACCAGAGATCTCATTTCTGGATTTCGAATAAATTTTAATGCAATTTACAATAAAAATAAAATAAAAACGCTTGCGAAAGTAAATACCACAAAATTTGTAATATTCCTTATCATTTTTGAGCAGTTTAAAATACAAATTTGTAAAAGTCTATGACACAAGTACAAGTATATCTTTGGCACTCATGGCCGTGAGTGAACAAGAATCATCAAGAATCTGCAGGCTAAAATTTATTAATGCATACGAACAGTTTGGTATAATCAAATAATACAATTACATCATGATTTGGGACAGTGTGATGTAAACCAAATATAAACCATATGCTAATTTTTGAGGTAGTGCGTTTTATAATATTACGTTTGTTAACCATAAGTAACTAAAAGGCAATTTAGCCTCCGGGACTGGCGATAATAGGGATTTTTTGTAATTCCTGACATACATGCAGCTTAATCCAAAACGTTATTTCCTCCGTTGAAGATAACTTCGATTTAACAGAAGGTAGATATTTTTGTCGTAATAATGTTTAAATGATTTTATCATTGAAATTAGGGGTATTCACATAAAATGCGCTAATGTGTTAAGAGGTTTTGTTATTCCAGGTTTTATTCTGAGAAATATTTACAGGTGCATGATTTAGCACATGATAAATATATAATAAACTAAATATTGAGTCTTCTTGCTTGTAGAAAGCAAGAGTTATTATTGTAATAATAATGCCCTTAAGGGTATAATTTTCTATTTGCGTAGGCCTAAACAAATTCCCTAAGTTTTCCCGGTTTAGAATAATACTATTGTTTATATTGTGGATAATCACAATATTTATTTAATTTAGTACCGCTATCATACCGTTATGTTTTTCCCTTCTGCCTCTATCTTCTTTGAAGCGAACCATTTTTGCATATTAATTGTTTTCTTTCAATGTCCATTAAACCAGAAACTAAGAACTGTTTCAATTGGAGTACTTAATGTTTATTGACTTAACGATACATTTTCCTTTTAGGTTTTAACGAATGTAGTAATAATAATAAGCACAAAGTAGTACAATTCATAAAGGATAGGTTTAAAAAACTTATCCCGTTAAAAACACAAGTGGATTATACAAAACACAAATGGGTTTGTATTTCGAAGTTCTGAGTATTAAGATAAGCTTTTTCACTAGGGGGGGAGCATCCTTTTTTATATCAGAGGTACTCACGCAACCTGTACTAATCATGTTAATTGTTTTATAGATGTTTTATTATCGCGTGCTAGTTCTGAACTAAAAAACATCTAAGGTAGGGCAGCAGGCACAGATCGCTACCTCAGGGCCATAAATATTTATAATTGTACAGATCTTTATATCTTCATGCCTATGGCATGTGTTACTTACTGGAAAGAATGTATTTATTTCCGTGAATGGAGGTGCTGATCCCCCAATTACCTCGCAGAATATCGAGTCCTCTGGGGTAGGGTGAATGAATGTGTGAACGTTATTTATTGGCGTGAATGAACGAGCTTATCCCCCAAATACCCCGAGGAATATCGAGTCCTCTGGGGTAGGGTGAATGAATGTGTGAACGTTATTTATTGGCGTGAATGAACGAGCTTATCCCCCAAATACCCCGAGGAATATCGAGTCCTCTGGGGTAGGGTGATTGAATGTGTGTTACAGAACAGAAACACACCAGTTAATTATGTCCAAAGAAATAATTTGCAGAAGAAAAAAAACTTTTCAATGTCTCAACTTTTACTGCTGCCTGTTAACGTTTGCAAAGATAATAAGTTAATTAAAGTGAAGTAATTACTTTCGTACTGGAGGGTTTAACTTCCTATAACCAATTTAATGTCGCACCGAGGAGTCAAAACACATTTCTATACCATTTGCATGTTTTTTTCTAATTAAAATTCGAGGCTAGGCAGAGATTCGAACCCAGAACCGCTAGCGTGGCAGAGTCGGAAGCCCCTAACCTCTCGGCCACCACAGCACTCTAATATACCTGAATTCATAAATGAAAAGAGAACAGAATGTAATGTGTTAAAAAAACTTTCTCGAACAGCACAGTGTGGTAACTTGAACGTGCCCAGAACGTTTTATCGGTATTCAGAAATTTATATTTTTTATGTTTAATATACAATTAAACCCTATATAACATTTTAACCAATTTTAGGAAATTGGATTGCAGAATTTTTTAACTCATGCCATGACAAACAGGCCAGTGCTGGCACTCAGTATGAGGGCATAAGGGGGAAGGAGGTCTAGCGGGTTCTCGGGATGGGAATGTGTGAGGAGCTTTTACGATTTGACTGAGAATTTTGATAGGAAGGATTAGCTACTCTGGATGCTGGATGATTTGGCGGAGCTCCACAGTTCCATGAAGTATGTCGCAGTAAAGTCTTGTACAGGGTTAGTCGAGTTGTCACGGATAAAATAGATTTCGATATTAATTCTTCGTAGCTGTCTGTTAAGTAGTATTCTGTTAAGATGTTGACTCTAGTGCTCTCTCAAAGTTATTTGTGCAGATTCGTCAGTCTGCTGTCTAATTCTAAAGTTCTAAGCATGTGCCCTGAATATATCTTTGTTGTTGAATAGCATAGAAAAAGCAAGACTGGTTTTTCAATGCACATTTTTGTAACATAGCTAGCAATATGTAATTTTCATGGACATTTTTCATTGTCTTGTGCTCCACTTTTTGCACCGGCCTTCGATAAGCTCAAGGTGTTATTGGTTGCTGGGGGTAGCATGGATAGGATTTAAGTTAGAGAAAATAAATGCAGTATTGCCCGTAAGTGGTGATAATGGTATTAAAATTATAGGTAGGTCAACAGTACAAATGATATACATGTTGTGTGACGCCGATCTGACTTCGGAGAGGGTAAAAAGCGTTTAAGTTTATAAAGCATGCCTGAGTGCCATGGGATAAGCCTATCACCTATGGTGATGCCCATGGTAGAGTTAAAAATTTAATCTCTTTTAGTACAGAAGTGTAAAGCGTTCTTTACTAGGATGAACATATGTTTTTTATACATTCATGCAATGTAATCAGTTTCTAAAAGGAGTTTCAATACTATTTTCCATTATTTACTGTAAAATATAGCCTTATAAAATATAGCTTGTCAGTCAAAACGTACCACATTACCATAAGACCGTAGTCCTTACACATCCTTATCTACTAAGGACTAAATGAATTCCTGAATGACTGCATAAATTACTCAGAAATTTAACAATACTTTTTATATTTGTTTATATATTGCACCAAGATTTAACCTGACTCACAGTTGATCCTTAGCGGTTGAAACTATATATTTATTATTACTAAAATAATATTTTTACTTTATATTTATTATTATTAATATTGGTTATTTCATAAACAAATAGTTTTTGAAAACGTTGACTTTATCGAGCGAGTGGGCGAGTTATTACTATATTGACCACTAATTCAAAGTTTTGCCGGAATAATTAAATAATATAAATGTAATAATAAAATCTAAATTCTTGTTTTTGCAGGTAGGATGGTCGGCACTGAGGTGACGTTACAAATCGTGGCCACTTTAAGCGGAGCAGCTCTTGTCAGCTTTCTTCTTATCGCATTCATTAACGCAGAAGCTAAAAGCAGAATATCACACCAAGGTAAGTCTACTTTATCGTCATCCTGTTAACCCTCTAAAAAAAATCACAATTAACATTTCTTAGTAGCGTTAATAAAACAATAAACCACGTTTTAAATATCCTTTTAAAACTTATACAAATGTAGCAGTCAGTTAATCAAATAGCTAAGGTTGACGTACGTGTTAAATAAAACGTAATATTTTTGAATTCTAGACTATACTTTTTTGAATTTTTGTTTTGTCTCTGCCTGTCTGTCTCCTGTCTACCCACTACCTCTTTCTTTATCTTTCTGTCTGTTTCCTCAATTGTCAATATATGGATCAATAAAGAATAGTTTTAAAAATTTCTTTTTCAGACATATAAGCAAATCATAGAAAAAGAAAGTGATATGAAAAGGAAATGAGTATTCTCTTTCTCTCTCTTTCTCTCTTTCTCTCTCTCTCTCTCTCTCTATCTATCTATCTATCTATCAACCTATCTATCACTCTTCTAATTCATAACTTTCCCTTTCTCTCAATGTGTACAAGCTCTTTCCTGTCTCACATTGTATTATCTCATATTCTCTCTCCCTCCCTCTCATTCATTCTCTTCCTTCATCTCATCTTTCTACCCTTTCTTATGTTTCATGCTTCTTATTTTTTATTTATTTTTTTATTTTTTTGGTAACTCACTCTCTGTTTTTTTTCCACCGACTCTCTACTCTTCTCTCTCTCTCTCTCTCTTCTACTTCACAATTTTCCCATTCTCTCAATCTGTACCCGCTCTTTCCTGTCACACATTGTTTTTCCTCATTCTCTCTCTCTCTCTCTCTCTCTCACTTATTCTCTTTCTCTAACTTTCTCTCATCTTTCTACTCATTCTTACGTATAATGTTTTTTTTTTAATCTCCCTCTCTGTTTTTCTCTCACCTACCCTCTATTCTTCTCATTCTCTGTCTCTGTCTCTGTCTCTCTCTCTCTCTCTCTCTCTCTCACTTTTTTTTTCTCTCTCTCTCTCCCAACTTACTATCTATCTAACAGTATAACTATTCTCATCTATTGTGATATAATTATACATTTTATTGGCCATCAGTATATTAATATACTCAATTAAAAATTGTAGGAAGTAGCAAAACATTGAAAATGCTAATTGTGAAAAAATTGTTAAAAGGCTTATCTACGATGGAAAAAACATCTGAAAAAACTACAGTAGATAATTATTTCTTATTTAATTATTCCGTTATGTTAGTCACTAGGACTCTCGTAAATAAGCAAAATTAGCAACATAGGAATAATATGTTTATTATGAATACTGGAACCTTCCTGTGTAATCAACTGTTGTTACCAGCGTTAAAAAAAACTTAAAATTTCATAAAGCCTATGACAGAAACAGAATTAAGATGAAACATAATAAAGGAAATAATATTACATAAATGTTTTAAGAATCGTCAGAACATAGTCTCAGTTGCTACATGTAGGTTTATTTCATTTATATATTTTATAAAAATAATTTTACGATTGCATCACCTCGTCTTGTTTACAAATGGAACTTGAAAATTGTTTTAAACATATTTTCTTTACTATTTATAAAATGCCTTAGAAGCTATGACAATATCTGGAAAATCAGTGCACCCTGACAGTCTGATTATTCCATTTATCTGACGGTTACTCCCAAGATTTCTTATCTTATCTGTTTCGTAGTGTTTGTGAGATTGAACGGTCCAGATAGAATTCACCGAATGTTATCTATCCTCCCTCTAGATTTAGCACAACCCCACAAGAGTATCACATGTAATAATAATATTATAAAACTTTTTATTCCGAGAAATGTTTACAACTATGTATTTGTTAAGCACAGGGTTCATAAAATCACACAAAGATTTCTTAATGGATCTTTTCTTTCCATTATAACTTTCTTAGGGATCGATTAGGTTTCGTGGTCCGATTGACCAAATAAATTCTTTTTAATTAATTAATCTTTATGAAAAGTGTTGGTTGAAATAAAAACGCCAGCGTCACGAGCGGGATTCGAACCCACGATCTTCGGCTAAATGCACTCCTGTTCTACCACTTGAGTTATCGTGACTTCGATCCACTCGGACACTAACTTCCCATCTCAACCCCACCTTTTGAATTTTCCCCTTTTTTTTACCATTTTTCAAAATCGGCGGCTCGAATCCCGCTCGTGTCACTGACTTTTTTATCTCAACCGATACCTTACCTAAAGGTTTCTTAGGGTATTAATTTTTCACCATGATAAGATTTAATGCGTATTTGATAGGTTTTCCGGTGTAGTATAATTGTATTGTTAATATTATTGATTATGTTATATGATATGTTTTTAGCACCGTTACTCCAGCGTATTTTCTCGTATTTTGATTATCCTCTTTGAAGTTAGTTTTCAAATTTCTTTTCTCCACATTCTCCACTTTCCACAATAAACTCTCCTTAATCCTTATCCAACAGAAACCACTCTATCAACCGACTAAAGAGGAGATGAGGAGACCTACTAAACGAGGATTAGTCCTCGCGAATAGTTGGGAGAACAACAATGGTTGTTAACCCCCATCACATTACATGATACATCACTTGTAAATCCAGCTCATAATTTAATGCAAATAAGGTTACAGATTGTAATAAAAAATATGTATCTTTGATACAAAAAAAAAAATCTGTCAACAAACAGCTAAACTACTTGCTAAACAGTTTAGCGCAACTAGCGAATGAATATTTCAAATATTTTAATTATCTGTTAATTTAAGATCTCGGCGTACATTTATTATTAAAACGTTAGTGAAGGAAGTTTATATATTATAGTAAAGTAGTAAAGTGTTGAGATATAAATTACTCCAATCTGCTTAATATAAAAATATTTGTAAGTAAATGAAATCGTATCCTTTTGTTCTGAGCTTTGGGGGCAGACCTTCCATGCTATCTTTCAGTTTTTTAATTATAAAGTCTACTTTTTATCCCGCTCTGTTTGCAACATGTTGCATGCTATTTAAAGACAACTTTTAATAAACAGAATAAGGGTAAAAAAGTATTGACTCAGGGGACGGTCTTCTTTAAGCCTAAAATGTGCTGGGAGTGGCCCCGGTAATCAGAACTGGCCTCAAACTCTCAAAGCATGTAGATGTCACTTACCAACCCACCAATGCGGTCGATTCACAGAACATTCTCAGTTCGCCAACGTTGAGCCGGATGTTAAAAGTCGTCAGGTAAGGTTCACCAGCCTATTCAACCCTTCTTTGACAACAAAACTATCCTCGACAAAAATATTTATTTTTTCTATGATATATCGCATTTTAATTTAATTCGAACTATCATTTGTTGGAAAAGATTTAATTTATTTAAACAGTCCTTGTTCAAGTTAACATTCTTCACCAAATGACTTTTTTTAAATCTATTATTATTAAATGGTCGGAATTTCTTATGAATTTTTAAAATTTGTCCCAAAAGTTTTGCTTAATGATATGATTATTTAATTTAATGAAATATTTGCATGAAGGATATGCTTGAAGGTTTTTAAAAAATCAGTTATTTTCCATTTCCACATTTATAAAAAAAGTGAAATAAGTGAGCTATCAAATTATAGAGCAATTTCTTTTATTAACACCATTAATAAGATATTAACAAGAGTAACATCTGATAGAATAATTTACCATTATATTTAATTCTTGAGCTTGATAAAAATTAAAGAGACAAAAAGGTTTCATATAGCGACTCTGAAGAGGGCCAGGGACGTGGTCCGAAATGCATTAGCGACTGAAATATATTTTATAAAAAATAATTGTGTGTTTAGTTCAAATAAATAACCAACATTATTGATTTCAAATATTGTTACAACCAAATCTAATCAAAATTATCTTTAAAAAAACACGTTGGGAAACCCGGAAAATAAATACAAAAGAAATATTATTAATAACAACAATAAGAAGATAAGAATTATTAGAAGAAAATAATAGGAGTATTAATGTACAAAAATGATAATAATTAATGTGTGTTGTTTAGTGACTGTTAGTTACTGATTATTCGGAGATCGTGAGATGCGGTGGTTTTTGTTGAAATGCAGACGACACAAGGCCCTGAAGATGATCTCAATAAAGATCGAAACGTTAAAGAAAATGTTTCTCTAAAACACAAAAGAAATATTATTAATAACAACAATAAGAAGAAAAGAAATGTTAGAAGAAAATAATAGAAGTATTAATGTGTGGTGTTTAGTGAACCTTAGACAATGATTAATCGGAGATCGTGAGATGCGGTCTGGCTTATAAACAATATTTCAATTTTACAAATACATGTAGGATGTGGAAAAAAATTATGAATTTATACAATGTTTGAAAATTTTAGATTAAAAAAATGAATTTATACAACGCTACAAAAGTATAGATTTAGAAAAAGAATGAATTTATACAATGCTAGAAAATTTTAGATTCAATTAAAGTATTTGTACTCATTCAAAGTATTGAGGAGAATACTTTGATTGAATCTAAAATTTTCTAGCATTGTATAAATTCATTTTTTATCTATAATTATTTAGCATTGTATAACTTCATGATTTTTTCCACATCCTACATGTATTTGTAAAATTCAAACATAGTTTATAAATCCCAGGCCCTGAAGATGATCTCAATAAAGATCGAAACGTTGGCATAAAGAAAATGTTTTTCTAAAACCTACGCCGCACCAGTATCCGACTCCGAATAATAATAATCAATGGTAATAATGTTGTTTTTAATATTTGATTTTTTTTTTATTTTAAGACATATCAACTGATGAAGGTGAGGAAGCAGAACCCCAAAATCGATAATTGTTTTTTGAGAAAACTAAAGACTATTTTTTATGAAAGTGTGTTTTTGGTAGTCTTCATCTATGGAATAGACTGGTTCGAGATGAAACATCAATTTTAACAACAACCTACTGAATAAAATAACAACAACAACATTATCAATGTATGATAATATAGGTTTTATGAATTAAATTTCTGCTTTTAAAAATTATATTACGCAATGACATACCTTTTGCTGCTAAATTTAAACTTTTCAATTGTATATCACGTCGATTTATTTCTAGGTTATGGGGCCCAAATGTGCGGATTTAATTTATATAATATTATTGCTTCAACATTTAAGTTTTTGTATTAAAAAATTCTGAGGTATAGTTTTGAATTTGGATTGTATATATCATTTGTAAATATGTAGATTGGTATATCCTCAGGTGAAGACTTTTGTTTCTTTTTTCTTTTTACTCGTACTAATTTTTAACAGTACTTACTTTATGGTTCATTTCCATTTTATTTTACTTTGTACTATTATTATTTATTCATTTGTGTCAGCCCCAAACGATCTGCTTTTCCTTTTTGTTATACAGTTCTCAGAGACAGCCCCTCAGGCAGTAAACTAATCATGAGAGAAATGCCTTACTACTTGCAAGTATTTTTATGATATATTTTTAATATATTCTCTCTCTTTCTATCTCTCTCTCTCTCTCTCTCTCTCTCTCTCTCTCTCTCTCTCCATAATTATATATGTATTTATATTTGGACTTTAACAAATTCTCTTAATGTGTTCATACTATACCCTAAAAATTCTTTTACTACTTATCACAGAATATTGAAAATCTAGTAAAGATTTATAAAAATATGTTAAAACATATGTATACATTCATTTTAATATCATTGTAACATTACTAATTCATCGAACTATCAGAAAGTTGAGTGGATCGAACCGATGATAAACTTAAAATAGCGACAGCCTTGACTACATAAAAATCCTTTGTAATCTGATTGGCATCTTAAACCTTTTGTTTGGATTCGTTTTTTCTCTTTTGGCATCCGAGTAAGCACTGAAATAAAAAAAAGATAGAGTAAAGTACAGGATTAAATTTTAAGGCTCTTCAAAGGTAGAAACTCACAAGCGAGTGTTAAGTTCAATGTGCTGATTGGACTGTTATTTGAAGTTCTCAAGCCGGTATATTACTCTACGGAACGTCATTCAACTTGAAACTGCTGTCCAACTTTACCCACTTTGTTCCATGGGAGATAACAAAGACAGGCGTTTCTCTTTTGTCGAGGACAAATCATCTTATGGTGGTGGTTAAATTATGGTTTTTGCACTTTTCAAAAAAAAAAGGTTAATCTTAAGTCACTACTTTCGTGGTCCGCTTGACCAATTGATACATGACAATTAATTAAGGTTTTTAGTTGAGATGAAAAAAAGTTAATGGCACGAGAGGGTTTCGAACCCACGACCGCTAGATACGCCGCTGCTCGACCACCTGAGCTATTGTGACCTCGATCCACTCGGACATCAACTCCCCATCTCAACCCTTATGAGTTTTCCTGGGAAGTTGGTGTTCGAGTGGATCGAGGTCACGATAGCTCAAGTGGTAGAGCAGCGGCGTATTTAGCCGGAGATCATGGGTTCGAATCCCGCTCGTGCCATTGACTTTTTTATCTCGACTAAAAATCTTAATTAATTGTATTAAATCATTAAATTCACTAATTTCGCAAAAAGGAGGGAAAATTCAAAACGTGGGGTTGAGATGGGAAGTTAGTGTCCGAGTGGATCGAGGTCACGATAGCTCAGGTAGACGAGCAGCGGCGTATCTAGCCGAAGGTCGTGGGTTCGAATCCCTCTCGTGCCATTAACTTTTTTTCATCTCAACTAAAAACCTTAATTAATTTTAATCTTAAGGTATTTTCTAATTGGTTTGACTGTAAACTGAGCAGTTTTAGTCCGAAATCTAAGGTGTTATTTTTTTACAGTACAATAATAATAAAAGTACTATGTTGAATTGAGAACAAAAATACATTTAAAAAATTTCAAAAATTATAAAGTTAGAAGAAAGAAGTTAGAAGAATTCTCCCATTTTCGATATCGTTCCTCCTGGTCGAAGTAAAACCGGCCATAATCAGCATTGCGGTTCATGCTGATTTGGACGTTCCGTTAAATCGAATTACCTGATCTTTTCAAAAATCATCATTGTGAATGGCGTACTTGAAAACTGTCATCTCCCCCTTTTTTCCTTTTCCTCAGGGATTCAACAAATCCACACCGGGGCTGTCGAACAGTGATAGGGCCACGTTTACCCTTAGCCACTCTATTTACACTTATACGGCAGTAATTTTCTCGTTTTATTACCTGCGGCAACTTCTTTCGCTCCTTTGATTGTTCTAACTGTTTTTACAAGGCTTAATTTTTAAGTACCATAAAACCTTCGTTTTATAGTCAGTTATTGGAAATAATAAAAAAATTCCGATACGGAATTTTTTCTTAAATCGCTACCAGGTGAGTAATACCATAATGTAATTTGCATCTTTTTATCGCTGTGACTATGATCACCAAAAAAGAACCAGACATGGTCGTGCGGTTTTTAATTTGTTATTGTTTTAATACCGTAAATCAACAAATTTATTTATACAGAAGGTTTAGGTGTTTACATCACCACCAAGAGAAGAATGGTTCAGTTCATTGAGGAAGAGCTCACTGTAAATGGTGCAGATATAATAATAAAATATTGTCTTTCTCATGGCTTTAAAACCCATAAATCATGCGTGCTTACTGTATAAATTTTAGCTCGGTACTCCGGTGGCCGAGGCACCTAGGTGCGTTCGGTGATGAAACAATAACTAAGCATACTTCATAAAAGACGTTGACGACGAATTGAGGGAAGATATCGAACTTCATTCGAGAGAACATGCCAGCAGCTCGCTCAACGTAAGCGACGAAACCATTCGATCAAGCTTACATCGCCTTTGGAAGACGTGGAACCTGAGCAGATATGTTCCTCATAAAATGACTGACGGTAAGAAGCTTCAGCGTCTAAAAATTTTCATGCTTACCGTATGAATGTTAGCTCGGTACTCCGGTGGCCGAGGCACCTAAGTGCGTTCGGTGATGAAACAATAACTAAGCATACTTTCCAAAAGACTGAAAGAATGCTTTCACGGCATAAAGTAGAGACGTTTTTTGACTAGATTGTCACAGGCGACGAAAAATGGATCGTGGTCAGTAACACGAGAAAGTCATACTGCTGTGAGCAAATAACCTTCTTTTTAAAAAGATAGTTTCAACAACTAGTACAACAACTGAGTTGAAGTACTAAGTTGAAGATAACTTACTGTGTGTAGGAACTATCTTTTTAAACAGATTGAACAGCACACTCACTTCACCATTCATCATTTCTATTAATTATTAATTTGCTAGTCAAAGCAGTAATGAATTATAACACAAATAATAACACTACATCCACTTACTTAAAAAATCAGCGAGTAAACAAGAACTTTTAAATCTTTAATATAAATTAAGACTTGCATGCTTAAAAATCAACAAATCAATCCGGTTCAATTCCCAATGTTTGAAATTGAATCTAACCCCAAAATCCGTTTTTGCTAAATTAAATATTTCCTGTTCAACTCTCTTACAACATAAATGCCCAAAAACCATGTTAAATAATGAATTATATAAATTGTTCAGTCAAAGAGATACAAAACGTTTTTATCAATATCCTGTACACATTAGGCTTGCCTCATTATTGTCTCCAGTAAAATGGGATGAATTTGCTTATGATAGGCAATCAAAAGTTAAATTTATCATTGATAAAAAAACAAAGTATATTAGATAAAAAAATTAAAAACATGAAGTAATGTACACTTAAAAATAAAAATACTCATAAAGACCAAAAAAAAAACCAACTAAATTTTACCCAACGGTTATAAACTCAAGAAACACGGAACTAAATAAAGAAGAAAACAATTTATTAAACAAAAGTTTAAAATTTCACCTCACAACAGAATTAGATATAAAAAATCTTTTATCCCTTGGTTCATCGGTTGATTGTTGTAACATAAATACAAATATAAAATATAAATGTGCTAAAGTAATTAAACAAAACTTGGTAAATCTAAACGTCAAAAAATTAAATATCCCACATACAATTAGATCTATTGATTAAAAAGTAACAACAACGTTATTTTAAAAGCAGGTAAGGTGAAAACATCTTACATCGAGTAGGAACTATTTTTTTAAAAAGATTGAATTACTCACTCCACCATTCATCATTTCTATCAAACTCTTCCCATTGAGATGAAAGCGGAAAACCAACAAATGGTGATGATTTGAGTTTGGCGGAGTACTGTTTTAAACTTTTTGAACCACTTTTTGGCAATGAGTTCACTTATTTCTCATCATCACACGCAGTTCCAATTTTACGAGTTACCTCGGTCGCCAAAGTACCGAGCTAAATTCATAAAATAAGCAGACATGATTTATGGGTTTTGAAGCCATAAGAAAGAAAATATTTGATAGTTTACAGTGTAGTGTTCAACCACACAAACCGTTTTTTTTTACCTAGTATATCTATTACTTGATAACGCTATTTTTGTTGTTTTCCTCCAAACAACAATTACAAACACTTGTAAATTATTTCGTATGTTATTGTCCATATATATTATTTTGTGATTAATTCTGTCAGTCATTTTCGTCTTTACTGCATTCAAACGTTCATCTTGTTTTAAGCCAGGCCGATTCAATTCAGAAATGCCAAGCTTTAATTTTGACTTAAAATTAGAGATTCCTGACAGTGAGCGTGATTAGAGAAACTCGGGCGTTTTAGCTGTTTTGACGTTTGGACTCTTGATTCGTTTAGAGGTTACAATTTAGAATACTGCATTTCGATACAGGCAATGAAGATTGAATTTTAAATTTTCAACAGCGTCAAAAACACCATAGAAATCAAAAATCATTTACCAAGACTTCGCAAAACAGACAATTCGGAAAAAAATTTGACCAACATAAACGCATTATTTCAATTTACCTTGTATAACATTTTCACATGAAACATTAAAAAATGAGATAAAAGATAATAAATCTTTTATTTTTTATTAAATTCTAACATAAAATTTTATTTTCTGTTGAAATTAGCGTTTGACAAATGCACCCATAAGACCTTTCTATAGAAAATCTTCTTTAGATACACCTTATGTATGGTTTTACAATATCGTCATTAAATTAACATATGCTATAAAAGGAAGTGTTTTAGGTAGTAAGTTTTTCTAGTATTTTGGAGAACGAGTTACGCAAGCTTAACAGGATCTATTTGAATTATTAGGTATATTATAGTGCTAAGATAATACAGTAGCGTATATTTAGGAGTGCTCACTAAGTACTGCATTATAAATTTGAGAAATTAGAATCTGCGTATAATCTTAAACGAAAAGGAATGTTTTTTTTGTTGAGTTACAATCTGCCTGAGGTGCAATAAGTTACATAGATCACATGTATAGTTCCTACTAATAGAGTTGAGTAACTATACAATGATAGCACATCTAAATAGTTGATTAATTATAATCACTATCACTTTGCGATAGCAGGTCACTGTCTTTTTAAAAGTCGAAGAAAATTTTTGGGAAGAGATCGGATGTAATTTTGTTTACGCGAGAAAGAGTGTGTTTCGATGTTAGCGTCGAATTTTTTTAACAGGATCTTGCAGGAATCAGCACTGGACCCCAAAAGCTATGTGCCATCAGTGGCAGAGTAGAAGAGTAGGACTGATTAGGAGGGAAGGTGCAATAACACCACTAATTGGCCCCAAACAATGCTTTCCTTCTGTATGTTTTTTAGCCAAAAACGCCAGGCGCAATAATTTACATGACTGTACAATCAATCGATTGGAGAAGCAATCCAGTGAAAACACTTATAAATATGTAATTAAATAACTGTGAGAGGTCATAAGGCTACTATATTTTTTAAATGTCTTGGAGAATTATTGATATGAAAAGGGAGGAAAGATATTGAAAGCGAGGAAGAGAAGAGAGCGAGGAATTTGGAGGTTAGAGTGGCATTTTCTACAGCTGAATATTGCAGATTCTTTTATAAAGAGAACATTTAGGTCATTACGGATAGATTGGTCGGAAACTGAAAGTGGGGCTTTGACAATGGCTCTATGGAAAAGGTTATCTATCTAAAGATCTTTGCCGAATGTCTATATTGGTTTTCAGTACTGAGTTGTATATGAGTATTTTGTTGTCGAGAGAGAGCTTAGATCTGTTGTTTAGTGGTATTTTAAATAATCGGTATCGTCGGTTCAATATGACTTTTTGGATTACAGGTTAGTCACTGGCTAAAAGTTATGGTTGACGTCCTCAACCTAGGCCCTAACCATCCAGACACAAACCTGAGTTATAGTTAAAAAATACATCAAACTCAACATTACAAAATCTCAAAAGATAACTACAAGCTCAGTCGCATCACTGTGCCTGAAATGTACAATAACCTCTCCCACTTCCTACAACATCGTAATCTTTGATTGTTCTAGACAAGTGACTAAAATGGAATCTAAAAGGACAGAAATGGAAATGGACCTACGATACTGATTACTTAAAAGACTACTGCACTACAGATCTACACTCTCCCATATTGACTCAATTAGGAGCTGGAAAAGCGGGTTGGAGGATAGAATGGCTGACAACAGTGTATGCTAGGATAATAGTACCAAAACGGGAAAGGTTATCAATAATACATGCTGAGTACAGTAACATACTGAGGACACTGCTCGTCTTGTACTAAGGAGAGTGAGAGGATCAGACCCAAACTCTAAAATACCTGTCGGCCAGGTAGGACTTAAAGTTGTGGTTGTATTGTGTAGGATACCTCTTAATTTCCAGAAGAAACCCAGGTTCCAGACTCGATTGAAAGCCTGTTCGGCACCGAGGAAGAACCAGGGACAGCATTCCTTCTTCGGAACGGAGAATGCGATGATGTCCACAACAAGATGGTATTGTTCAACAACTCTGGTGATGTCTAAAACCAAATTGATGGTCGTGGATAGTATTAGAAGATTCGATGGTTTTAAGGAGGTTTTAACGAGTAAACCAAGGCACTAACAACCGATGGGACGGCAGGAATTCGGAAGGCTTACAAATCTGAACGACAGTCGTTAGTAGGGCTTATGGAGTGGGTCAACTATGGAACACTTCGCATGGCGTCTGGTATTAAGTGGTACAAAGAGTTGCATTATAAAGGGTTGATAAGAAAACTAGGCTTTTGTTGGGGGATTACGAAGGATTGAAATGGGTAATGAGGTCAAATCCAGGAGCTTTCTAGAGGGGAAGATTGTTAATTTCGTATTTGACGTCAGAGGGGGTAAAAGGTTTAGGGACAAACAGAAAGAGATCGGAGTGTAGTGATTTTGTTGTAAAGTTTTTGAAGTTGGGAGAATTAAAAATAGGTTTTCACTTTAAAAATTTCCCCTAAGTCCTGTGTTATTAAAGAAA